GTTTTCCACAGAGTTTCACGCTACTTCACGTAAAACGGGTGAAACTCCGTTGTATTAATTCTGTAAGTTCTTCTGTCAGCGGAGCGAAGCTCTTTTTCTTGGTAAGATCAAATCCGACGTATTTTCGTACATAATCTTCTGTTGCTGTAACTATGAACTCTGTTACCATTGAAATAATTTCGCTTTTTTTGAGTAGCAAAAAAAAACGGAGTCGTTATTCTCATGGGCTATCGTAAGCCTCCCCCTTATAATTGTTATTATTAACGATTGTTGTGTTTCAGTGCTGTTGTTGCTGTTGTTGCTGTTGTTGTTGTTGTTGTTGTTGTTGTTGTTGTTGTTGTTGCTGTTGTTGTTGTTGTTGTTGTTGTTGTTGTTGTTGTTGTTGCTGCTGCTGCTGCTCCTCCTCCTCCTCCTCCTCCTCCTCCTCCTCTTCCTCCTCCTGTTGTTGTTGTTGTTGTTGTTGCTGTTGTTGTTGTTGTTGTTGTTGCTGTTGTTGTTGTTGTTGTTGTTGTTGTTTATGTTGACAATTTTCGTAGTTTCATATTTCTGGTTGCCCTGGAGTGTACATGTCTGGAAGTCGACCAAGTGATTTCTCTTTCGTAAGTTCCGAAACACTAGATTGAGCGAGCCAGAGTCGTCACTAATTTAATGGAGTTTCACAACCTGTTTTACGTAGAGTAGCGTAATACTGTGTGTGAAATCTCGATATTTGCGGTTATATGCAGCAATATAGTTTTCACTAGTGTTTTTCATATCACTAGGGTAAATTCCTATGCAATGTCGAATATTAAAGAGTTGATATATGCCAGTATCTTCGCTACATGATTTTATGTAGAAATGACATTGGAGTTTCACCCTAGTGATATGAGAAACACTAGTGAAAAACATATCACACGGCTACTGCATATCACCGCGAATATCGCGTTTTTCACAGAGTATTACGCCACTTCACGTAAAACGGGTTGTGAAACTCCAGTTATGGTTGACATCAGGTCATCATCCCAGCATCGCCGTCTGAGCCTATGCGGGTGTTGCGAGGTCCTCAAGTGAAGGCTAAGAACGATGATGAATTCTTAGACGGAATTAAGGAGAAATTCCATCAGAAACACACGGATGTTGTGATCGATAAGTGCGTGTCGAGGGGGAGGGGGAGCGAATATGCACATCGTCAACTACATGTGCTGCACTACTAGTTCTTCAGCGACTTCGGCTGAGCCCAATATATTTAACGGTGTGGTCAAATATGCACATGGTCAACTACATGTGTTGTTGATGATATGAGAATTCTGAGAACATTTTTGGAAATTATTAGAATTTCACCCGTTTTACTCGGAGTGACGTAAATCTCGGTAAGTAACGCGATATTCGCGCTATGCAGTAGTCGTTGAATATGTTTTTCATATCACGGTCGTGAAACTCCGTCATTGGTTGCTGAACACTTCTACTCTAATTTGTATATAGATTCCCATAATTAGTGAGAAAATTTCATGAGCTCAGCTGAGGAGGGCGAGCGCAAACTCCCAGAGGGGAGTTTGGAATCTTGAGAAGTCGTTGTGGAGTTACTAATCGATAGCCATAGAGTTTCACCCTAGTGAAATGAAAAACAATAGTGAAAAAGTATATTTCACGACTATTGCATATCACCGCGAATATCGGGTTTTTTTCCACAGAGTATTACGCTACTTCACGTTAAACGGGTTGAGCTCAGATGTGAATCGATTTTCCAAATTTGAGATTGGGGCGGTATGTCCATTTGGAGATAAAAGAAGAAATTGTTTTGAAGTATAACTATAGGGTATGTATTTGCAAACCGTTGACTTTTAGTATTGGGAATCGATCTGAAGTTTGGGTCTAAAGTGAGAGGAGTCTGTGAGGGGAATGAACTGACATTAAAATGGATTTAAATTCTCAGTATTTACTCACATTCGCTCGCCCGCTGAAATTGAAAAAATATGAAGAATTACATTTCGTATCGTCAATTTTACTGGAGTTTCACCCTAGTGATATGAAAAACAGTACTGAAAAATATACACGACTACTGCATATCACCGCGAATATCGCCGAGTTTTTCACCGAGTATTACACCACTTCACGGATGAAACTCCATTGTGTGAAATGTCGATTCCTGGTTGACTTGCGCGATGTTAGGAATGCCCTCATGGCCCATCTCTGTGGTGAGGCTAAGATTGACACTAACGAGTTGATGGCAACAGCGGCTAAGGTGAGAAGAGAAGTTTTCATCGGAGTGGTATTGGAATGTTAATCGCTGAAATCTTAATTTAATGGAGTTTAACG